GATCACAAGTTCAAGTACAGCCTGAATTAAAAGAGGGGCTGGTGATGCAGCTCGGTGTGAAGGCCCTGGGTTCAACCCCCGATACTGAGAAAGAGTAAAGGGAACTTTGAAATCTTTTCCTAAAAGCATGACTATGTGAAAACAGAAACCACTGTGTAGGAAGAGGGTGTACCATCACATACCAACCACAAAGTACACATGTCCTACACTCCAAGAGCATCACTGATAACCAGGAAAACAGTCTCAGACAAGGGTGTCCAACCATTCACTCAGAAGCCGCCAGAGCTCTTGCCTGAAGGGATGAATGACAGTAGATTAGAACACAGTGGCCCTCAGCCTCCACCCAGGGCTCAGAGGAGAGAGAAAACAGTCTCCTATCACAGCCTCCCTTGGGATGTTAATGGCAGACCCCCTAATCACACATCATTTATTGAATGTGAAAGGAGGTCTGATCCAGCAAGGTGTAATGACCTGGCAATCTATTTTACTTTTTGGCGTCACAGACAGGTTTCTTTGGGTTCAGCAGGGTCAAAGAGCTTAAAATGTTATCTAGAGTAAGACAAACATGTAATTTTGCTCTTACTTTATTCTTCTATTTTTTTCCTTAATGATTAATTAGGAGACATTCTTTTACTCAAGAAATGTGAGATGAGGTTGTACAACCCTGTTGGTGATTCATAAAAGCTAACCGTCTGCTAAATTAAGCTTGCTTGGGAACCCATAGGCCAGAATTTCCAGCTGAGGAAGAATTCTTACAAAGGCTTATGTAGAGTAACACCCTCTTGGGCTTAAATTTCCCATCAGGACTCAGCCTACTCTGTAAAACCCTTTAGAGTGATAAGTCTTCTGGCTGGCAGTATTTGAAAGTTAAGCAAAGCAGCCTTCCAGGGCTCGCATTGAGTTATGAAAACATTTTCTGCATGACATTTAGGACCAAATGAAGGACCAAAGTCTTCACTCTTTTACTCAAGACTAGGTTTATGTCTCCACAGGCAATGTGAAATGGAGTGTGGAAAGATGATCTCATGAAATGAATTAGTTTAGACAGGATGCCTGATTTGTTCAAACCTCACAGAGTGTGTGTGTGTGTGTGTGTGTGTGTGTGTGTGTGTGTCTGTCTGTGTGCTTGTGTGTTTAACAATAGCCTAAGGAAACAATAACACTGAAGTGATTTTCAGAAAGAGCAATAATAAATCCGGATTTCCCTTAAATTCTGCCGGTGACCAACCAGGTGACCTTGGGCAGGACTCTCTAAGCCTCTCTTTCCTCCTCTGTGAGATGATCTTACAGGACCTGTACTTCCCAGGGTGGAGAGGAACAGGAGGGTGATGAGAGAACACTCTGTACGGACACACCGAAGTGCGACACTACTGCCGTTGAGCATCCTGCCAGGCTTTGCACCCATTATGCACAGACACGTGATGCTTTGGGGCACACACAGACGCAGAGCAGCTCTGACCTTGCAATGTCTCTCACCGGGGCCACAGAACTCACGTCTCTGTTATGACCCGAGCTTAGCTGCCTCCAGAACAGCTATCAGGATAGGAAATTGAATCTGAGGTTCTCACAAGGAAGGCCTGGGCATTAATCATGGTGAGCACGCTGGGGGTTTTCCATCTGAGTCGACCGGTTGAGTTCATAAAATCTCTTTCATTTTTCATCAGGAGATTCCAAGCGTTATATATTTATTATCCCTCTCATTATTTCACAGCCAGCAGCATATTTTACTTGTAGCAGTGCCTAACTTGGAATAATTTTGGAAACCGCAATGCTTATGAGGCATAGCTTACGAGGGCACCAGCAAGCAGATCTCACACTTTATTAACAGATGGGGTTGAATATTGCTTACATTTGTACCCTGGTGTGCCTGCCGTTCCAACTGTTTTCCTAAGAACAACTATAGAACATGGGGATAATTCAACCTGGGCTTCCCCACCTACCTCCACCTTGTCACAGTTTCAAAGAAGCTGGTCTAAATGTAATTTATGTAACTCTCCCTCTACACACTGAAAGGCATTGACCACTGAGTGCTAACAGCAATAACTGTTATTTTCATGGCCAGTGTGCCTTAGTGAAATATAGCGCAGGACCTGCCTCTGCCCCCTTCAAGCCACAGTCTACCCTTAAAGATTAGTGCCCATGGGTGGTTGTCAATATACATCAACCTAAGAGGGAAAATATGTTCACTGAGAAGGTCCTTGGCCTGGATCATAAGGCACAAGGAACATGGCAATCACAGATGGATTTCTGCCTCTTGAAATGTTTTCATTCTTTTCCTACACTGTGTCCTCTGTGAGTTCACATGGATCATATTTGACTTATCTGACCATAAAAGAGTGAGTTTAGGTCACTCAATGTATTTAATAAAACACACTGGAAGTGAAATATTTATGTGTTTCATGATGTTGTTTTTATAAATTCAGTGAGATCATTAAATTAACACATTTCACTCTAGTGGGAAAGATTTGAGTCACTCTCCTGAGTTCTCAGACAAGAAGAAAAAGGGGGCAGGCAGAGAGAGACAGCAGGAGAAGAGGAGAGATGCTGTTAGAAGAAGAGGTGGAAGAAGAAAAAAAAGGATAAGGAAGAAAGTAAGATTTATGCTTCTGCATTTTGGAATCCAGAAGAGTAATAGTCTTACTGCAAGAAAGTATTTAGAGCTTCATGAATCTTACTCGAGCAGGGGTCCAGGGCCCCGGACACAGACACCAGACCATCTCCTCTCCTCACGTCGCACCAGAAGGTCACAAAGACACACCATCTGAAAACCTCACGAAACAGCATTCTGTCAACTGAGCCAAAAGCTTGGTTGTTGAGTTTTACTCCAGAAGTGAGCACCAAGCCCAGAACGCTCAGACTTGCTTGGGATAATGAATGAGTAGGGCAGAATGAAGAACCGAGAACCTCTGGGCACACGACAGGACCAAGCGGAAAAACAAAGCTGTGCCTTCCCTTCTGAGGAAGCCACACCTCTTCAGAAACACACGGGCTGCTGTGACCCAACAGCAAGGCAAGAGGAGTGCAAGTTCAAGACCAGCATTAGCAACCCAGCAAGACCCTCTCTCAAAACGAAAAAATAAAAGGAGCTGAAGATACAGTCCTAGCGTGATACAAATGAGTAAGTCATTAATTGAAAAGAAAGGAAGGGGAAAAGGGAGCTAGGGGAGAAGGGAAGGGAGGGAAAGAAGGAGGGAGGGAGGACGGGAAGTCCTTGTAGTGCTTGTTTCCTGACCGTTTTTGTTGTCGTTGCTATTTTCAGGGGTACTGATGGAAATCAAAGCCTCCACATGCTAGGAAACTCTTCTACTACGAAGTTATATCCCAGACTCAAAGACAGATAAGCTCACCACAGGGCATGCGGGGAGGTTCGGGAGCGACTTCCCAGCTCCCACCCCACATTTCGGCACGCCTGGTCCACAGCTCATAAACTGGCTACTGCGCACTGCCCAAAATCACACCCATGTTCTCGGGAAGTCAGGGGTGCACGCCCACAGCCTGCTGCTAGAGGGGATTTGTCCTTTTTTCTGCAAAAGATAAGCCAATCTTAGACTTCTTTCCAGAGCTCATGCAGGCCTGTATCTGTGACAGATGAACGAGACATAAAGAATCTGGTCTTTTCTGTCTCTGCAATTGAGGAAAGTGAGGGAAAAGGTGCTCGAAAGGGTTGTGGGTGCAGCAGCCTGAACCCTTCAAAGTGGGTTACAATTAGACAAACTCATTCGAATGAAAGTAACTGCATTAATTAGAAAATTTCCAGAATGTCCTTTACTTTTATTTATTTATATATTTACTTTTTGGTACAGGGATCCAACGCTGGTCCTTGCACTTGTGAGGCAGGCAGCGGCACCACTGAGCAAAATCCCCAGCCCCAGAAGCATCTGTGGTTGTAATGAGACTGAAGATTGTCAATTCAAACAACACCCTTTGTTGGATTTTTTGTTTGTTTGTTTTGTTTTGTTTCATTTTGTTTTTTGAGACAGGGTCTCACTATGTAGTTGAGACTGACCTGGAACTCACTATGTAGCCCAGGCTGGTCTCGAACTCACAGTGATCCTCCTGCCTCAGCCTCACGAGTGCTGGGATTACAGGCGTGCACCACCGTGCCCGGCAACAACACCCTCTGTAAAGGGTAGGTGTAATGGCTCCATGGGAAATCTGTTTTAAGAAGCATTTACAATTCAGTTAACTCAACTGACTGAGCTATATTGTTATGCTGTATGGCATAGATATTAAGAACATGACCTTCAAGTCAACAAGGCTAGGTTCAAATTATGACCCTTAAAAGCTGTATAACCAGCCAGGCATGGCGGCACACACCTATAATCCCAGCCCTTGAAGGCTAAAGCAGGAGGGTCCCAAATTCAGAGCGAGCCTCCGCTCGAGTGAAATCCTGTCTCAAAAAAAAAAGGTTGGGTGAGGAAGAGGAAAGGAAGGAAGGGGAGGAGAGGGGAGGGAGAAGGAAAAGAAAAGGGGAGGAAAGGAAAAGAGCGGGGAGAGGAGGAGGCTTTAGAACCGTGGGAAAACACGTAGCCTCTAAACCTGGGCCACCCATTCTACAAAATCCCATAGTTCAGAGTAGTTAGTAAACCAGGTGCTGTGGGGCTGGGTGGGGATTTAGCTCAATGGTACAGTGTTCTTACCTAGCATTCACAAGGCCCTGGGATCAAGCTCTAGCACTGTCAAAAAAATAAAAATAAAAAAATCAGATAACTGTAGAACCGCAAAATACCACGGCAGAACCTGTGCTCTGCTCTCACGGTGGCGGCCGTGGTGGAGCCGGCTGCCCGGCAGAAACCACGGTTCCCAGTCTGCAGCCGTGTACGGAGGTGCACTGAAGCTGCGGCCAGCGGAAGGCCAGCACAGCGACACTTTCTAGACTGTAGCCCTCACACCCACGACCTTCCACACTCACTTCCCACTCCCTGCTCCCTGGAACTGCACCGTGTGACCCAAGTACACTCTGTGAGCCTGCGTGCTACACAGCATCCAGCCAGACTTACTAGAGAGGAACAAATCCCTGCATTCCTTCAGCCACTCGTCATTGCCCCGCCTCCTGTCACAGGAGCTTGCTCTACCTTCACGTTGGTCCTGGCACGTAGTAGATCTCAGCAGATTACAGCTGTTGTTCAAATTATCTAGAAGAAAGAGACATCATTATGTATGGTTTCCTTTAGAGTGAGATGATGGCACTGGGCCTGGGATGTAGCTCAGTGGCACCATGTCTGCCTGGCAAGAGCGAGGTCCCGAGTTCGATCCCCAGTACCAGGGCGGGGGGATAATGGCATTGACACAAATACGTTACAGAATCCCTTGGTCCTAAAATCAATAACGTTATCACTTTATAGAGATCATGAGATATTTACTAAAGTAATGCTTTTCAAAGAGCCTTCAGAGTGTAAGACCAAAATCTAATAGTATAGTGAAGTGAACATAGCATAGTAATGAGCACACAGACACCATAGCACCCTTAAATAAGAATTCACAAGCAAAGACTGTCATTATTAAGGAAATTGTAGGAATATACCAACATAAGAAAAATCTAAGAATGAAATCTTTTCTGGAGCTCTACTCAAATTTTATTTTATTTTTAAATAAAATTCTGCTGATTTAATTAAAGCCACATTGACTTTAAGAAAACAGTAATTTTGCAGAATAGTTTCTCTGGTATGAAAAACTATAATAGTACATAAGATCCTAAGGATATAATTGACAGTGTGAAATAGGAAGAAAAGGGCTAACGGTGTAGGGGAAGTGGGAAGGGTAGGGGAAAAGTAATAAGGGAAAAGGAAAAAAAACATGAAAAAATGGAAATAAAGTGTTTGTAAATGGGGAGGGGAGGAGGGGTGAAGGGAAAGCAGGGACAAGGGAAAAAATGAGAACCAAGACTTGTCATGTAAAGGCACAAGAGCCCAATAATGAATGTAACTGTACTGTATACCTAAAATGTACTGATAGACTCAATGAGGAAAAAAGAGAAAATAGTAATTCAAGTAATCATAACTGGATTCCATGTAGGTAAAAATATTTCACATGTTCAAAGTTCAAATATTTTAAATCATGAAAGTAAATTACCCAGCTCCACGGTGATAAACAATTTGAAGGTTTATACATCTTTTACTTTTAATTTTTCAAATTTATTTATTTGTTTATTTATTGCTTTGTTCTTTTTGGTACAGTCTCACTGTGTAGCACAGGCTGGCCTCAAACTCAAAGCCCTCCTGCCTCTGCTTCCCAAGTGCTAGGATTACAGGCATGCGCCACCACACCAGGTTTTTAAATTTCTGAAGCTTTTCCTTTCAGTCGAAAACAATTTTTTGCAAGGTTTGCATTCTCTTGTGACCTTTACTCTCACTAAAAGATAGGAGTTTTAAAGAACAAATACTGTTCGTATGTACACACATTCCTCTTGTCCCTTCACAATTTATATTCTAAATTTGTCTCCTCCGCCCCAGCCCTGGGAAGCACTGCACAACAATCTTTTTTTTTTTTAATTTTATTGAGTTTATTGGTACATTTTAGGGATACAGTACAGTTACGTTCATTGTTGGGATCATGTACCTCTACATGGCACGTCTTGATTCTCATTTTTTCCCCTTACCTCTGCAACAATCTTAAAAGAATTCTTCTGATTGAAACAGTTTCATGGATTCTCTGGCCGTGCAGCAACTGGACTGGGGCACTTGACAAACTGACACTGTACATCCCTGCCTTCCTATAAAAACCAGTGTAAGGGCCGGGGATTTAGCCCAGCGGGTCTACTGCCTGCTTCACAAGTGCAAGGTCCCGAGTTCAATCCTGGTTCCAAAAAAAAAAAATTAAAAAAAATATATATAGTAAAATCTTTAGTAAATAATCACCAGATTAATTTTCCCTTAATGCTCAGCTTCTGCCTTTAATATCTAAGCTTCTTACCTAAGGAGCCAGGCATTGTGGGACACACCTGTGACCCCCGCACCCGGGAGTCTGAACAGGAAGGTCTCAAGTGTGATGACTTCGTAGGGAGACCTCCTCTCAAAGCAGCCCCTCAGAAACAAGATCAGTACCTAGATCAATCCACACGTCCTTTTACTGTGACAAACTGTGTTCCTCTCTGACTTCATTTTACCCACAGTTTTGAGATGAACTTATCAGCACATATTTAAATTCTTTCTACTTTTCAATTCTGTGAAAATTAAAGTTATATCATAATCTAATCGTTTTCTCCCTATATTTTATGACTGCATATTAATCATACAGAATAACGGGTTTTACTGTGACTTTTCTCTCTTTTTTTTAGTACTGGGGGTTGAACTCTGGACCTCGCACCTAGAAGTCAGGGATCCCCGGACTACCGTGCGTTTTTCTAATGTTTCTTCAGCATCTAGTAGGTGGACAGCACATTTCACTCGACTGCACCCTCAAAAATCAGAACCCTGAATTAGAGCAATGAGCTAGACCCCAACATCCTTGGTGGACCACCTCCTGTGTGTTAAGAGGAAATAAAATCCAGGTACAACTTTTACTTCATCTAGGATCAAAAAAGCAATTCATGAAATCTTGGCTTCTTGCATTTGTGGTGCAATTTTCTCCTTATCCCCAAAATATTTACTTATTCAACAAAACTATTTATCAAATACCACCTACCTGTTATTCTGAGTGCCAAGTACTGAAGAAATAAAGCAACCTGAATAAACGTTTTAATTTTCTTTAAGAGTTGTCCTCACGATGCTTCCTGGGGAGGGAATGACCTTTGTTCTGTGAAACGCTGGGGCTAAAGTCACAGCTTAGGAGGCTTGGATTCACCAGGTGGAGAAACTTCAATAAAGAGGGCAGAGCCGTAGGAAACCAGCCAACCTGACGTGAGTAGGGAGACACCCATCAGCTGGTTGCAGAATTATTATTGTACAAACATGGAAACAACCTTAGCAGCCATCAAAATTAGAATAAAAATACAATTTAATAGTTGTACAATAAAGTACTAAGTACAGCAACAGTTTAAAACCATTTTTACTTATATGTAGTCACAGGGAAAACTCCTCAAGATCTGTTATTTAGCAAAAAAGGAAAACTATGGAATAGCAGCCCCTCGTGACCTTCTTATTAAACGTGCTCCCACCAGACTGTATCTGCACGGGCAGTGATCTGTTAGGAGAGAGAGACAGAGTGAGCAGACAGCAGTGAGGCCTGAATGTCACAGGCTCTGCAAACAGGACTTCGTCCACAGTTTTAGTTTCAGTTTTTGCCAAAAGAATATATTTACTGCTTCTCTAATTCAAAGTGAAACATTTTAACACTTTTAATGTAAGCGATCAAGGGCGCTGGCGAAATAGTTTAATTTTTATCTCCGTAATATAGTGAGTGAGGATGACTAAAGTGCTTGAATTCCTTAAAGTACCCTAAAATACTATTTCAGAAAACGACTCTCACAAGTTTCATTTTCACCGTTAATGGATGTATTAACATTTTTCTGACGGGATATTTGTGATCTAAAATGTTGTTGACCACAAACACACACACACACACAAAGAAAATCATCAGTATTGCGGACCCAAGTTTTTGCAGGTAAGAAAGACATTGGCCGTGAACCCAGTTCCAGCTTTAACAGAGAACAGCAGCTGACAAAGATGAAACAGCATCCATGTGAGAATCAAAAATGATGCCTAACTGATACAGTAAGTCCTTATGTGTTGGAAAGAATATATGAAAATAAGATTGCAGTGGGGCTTTTCAAAGCTTTTGAGTTATTTCCACGTTATAACTAAAGGTACAACTAACTGCACGTACTGACTGGACACTCCTGGGAGTTTCCACTCACTCCAGCACCGCTTGTCTAAATAACGTCCTCATTTCACCTACAATCTTATCTCTGTGAGATTATCTTGACTCCATTCTTAGGAATGCTGTATTTAAAATTCTGAGGCAGCAACCTCCATAAATTACCTTTCACAGTGGGGACAGGGAGACGGGAGACTAGATCGAGCCTGTTGAGATTCAAACGCATTCTTCCAGGAAAATCAGGTCCCAGCCTAACACACGCGTGAGCAGATGGGCGCAGCCAAAAGTCGGTTCTACTTTAAACGCTGCAGGCATTAGATAATTTATGAAGTAAATTTGCCTCCTTAATTGTGTTTGTTTACACTGCCTCTGAAATGAGTCCGGTTCGCATTCCTGAGCGTGTGTGGACTGATTTTCAGAGAAGGTGCTCAGAAGTGAGACAGGGTTACACATGGTTCCAATAACGATGTGGATACCCTACAAAGTACGTAATCCACATAAGGATAATAAAAGACCTTTTAGTTCCCTCAATTATCTGTTAGATAAATATAAACTCTAGCCAGATTCCCTGACACTTACTAAGCTGTGCCTGCTGGGGGCGGGAGCCCTGGCCCCAGGTCAGCAGGTTCAGGCCCCGGGACAGACGCTGGTAAAACATTGTATAATCAGTGAGTCGTTAAGCCATGAAAGTCACTCGTGCTGCTAACATTTTTTCAGTGGTTGTTCTTATACAGTCTCAAAGAATCAAGAAGGGGCTCTGTGAGTCAGAGGCAGTTACGAGCCCTGGTGCCAAAGCTTCTGGTCATCTGTGCCCAGCCTCTCTCTTCCTCTGTTCCTCCAAGCTCTGAAGCAAGACTCAGAAGGGGCCAGGTCAGATTCCAGCCCCCCTTCAGCAGGACACTCTGGTTTCTGCAGGGGGTGGTCTTATCTTACAGTTTTTTAAAGCCAAAACCAGAATAAAACTAAAAACATGGAGAAACCACCTTTTCCTTCCAATTTTAACTAGACTTCAGATTATTCACAAAGGCCCAAATCAAACAAAACCTGGCAACCACCTAATTCAAAACACTCGTTCCAGATGGGGGCAGAGGCTCAGACAGAACAAGAGACCTGGCTCCGTGCACAGAGCAAGGTGATGCTCAAGATTGGCCCGGAAAACCCGGGTACCCTGATAAAAATAAAACAAAATGAGGAAGTCAAATCTCCTTTAGAAAATATGTATTTCATTGCAAAGCGTGAGAGGGGCAATGTAAGGATTATGTTGTCTGTCTGGGATAACTTTGCTCAGCTCTACTCAATTTAGGGGACTTCAAAGTTTTTTCCTAATTATGATTATCTATTCATCTGGATGACCTGACCTCCTATTTTTACAGTACTTTTAAAACTGAGCGGGCGAATCTTTGCAAAAGTTGCATTTCTTGAGCCAGTTTTCCAGGCCCCTCTGGAGATCCTGCTGTGTGAACTATTTGAGCTACCACATGATAATAAGGAGTCAGCCTCTTCCCGCTAGCGATGTGCTTTCCATTAGAGCTAGGCCACATTTATTGTTTTAAACTTTATTAGCTGAGTTACCACTGGATGATCAAAAATACTTCACCTTTATAAAAAGAAAAACATAAGAGCAAGGTCAGTTTGACAAAATTCTGATATTTGCAGAGAGAGCCAGCGGCGATCCATTTAAAAGGCCAAGTTAAATAAGATACAATTGTACCGCAATGGCTTCCAACCGCTCAGGAGTGGACTCGCGATTTAGTGCACTCGGAGGAATGCACTTCTTCATCGTGTCTGCTTTCCATTGGCCGATCTGCATTATTCAGACTCTTCCAACAGGCACTTTCAGTAAACAACACACACCCTTGTCTTGCTGACCTATTTTTTTCAAACTGGTTTTTCTTTTACTAGTTAAAACGTTTTTTAACAGATATCATATTTTATTTTGTTTACAAAGATAAAGGAAGAGAATTTGTTCATCTACATGGCCATGAGAAGAAAATAGATAACAATAGCAGAATTTTTAGAAAGACATAGTGCCAGGCTGGGGACTCAGTGGTTCTGCCAGCTGCCTCTTGAGCACAAAGACCTGAGTTCAATCCCCAGTACCAAAAAATAAAAATCAAAAAAGAAAAAAAAAACATAATCCCAACCAGTTCTGAAGATAAAGATTTTTTTTAACCAAGTGTACTTGGCTGCGAAATGCATGGTCTCCTGATACATAATATGAATTCAAAGAAAGATAAAAATATTCAGAAAAAGGAATCTAAAATTGCCAAGATTTTCCTTTACATAATGCAAAAACTTAGACAAAGGGTTTACATTTCAAAGACGTAACTGACTTGAAATGCTAGAACACATTTCCCCATTTCAAGAGGCCCTAAAGCTGTCTGGACTCCTCGCCAGGAAGCCCCCCCCTGCCAGAGTGCCATCTCCCATTATCTCCTTGTTGCTCCCCAACATTTTTTTATCTTTTTTTTTTCTTTTCTGCTTTCACATTGCCAAGACTCTCAAAAGGAAGAAACAGGATGTTCAGATAGAGCCCAGCACTCGCTCACTCTGTTCTGCCCTCGGTGGCAGACCCAGCAGGCCTCTCCCAGCCCAGCCCCACCCCACCCCTTCATGGTCTCCCCGGCCCTCACCTGCTCACAGCCTCGAAAGTCAGCACAGCCGCCTGTCCTGGGCTGAAAGGTCCCACGCCACATAACATCTGAATCTGAGTATCATTTTCATTACTTCCTAGCTGAGCGACTAGGATCAAATTATCGAAATTCTCACTTTCCTCCTCAGTTAAATCAGGGCAAGAATCTTCATTATACAAGTCTAATGGGAAAAAGAGTGTACCCCCCAAAAAAGAGTGTACCCATAATATATATAGCCCAGTGCCTGTAACGGGGTCACAATACACACTTTCATCTGCGCTCCGCAGTTTTTTCTTTCATTTCTGTTTTTCCACTTCTTGCATCTCCCACAAATGCTACTCCAGAAAGCATCTACAGCCCTAGGAATCCATTTTCCTTCTCGCTCTCAACCAATTTGTTTCCTAGCTGCTGCAATCAATCATCCTGTGCCTGATTCGTGGTCCCCTCCCTGTGCAGTCGCCCCAGCTCCCTACTCGGAGCTCAGACTGGGCGTCACTGAGCCTGTGCTTCTGCCCACCTTGGAGGGAGGGAGATCTCTCACTTCTCCCCGATCCTGTATCACACCCTCAGGGTCTGTTGCCTCTTCTTCCCTCGCTCTTGTAAATGTCAGTGATTGTTTACTGAAGGTAAGTTTTCCTGAGTTCTGGCTGGAGCTATGGCTCTGTGTTCCACAGCCTGTTCACACTCAGTGCACCAATGTGAAGAGTTAGGGACCAGAGTGCTGTGTACATGGGAGGGGTGGGGACTGAACCCAGGCCTTCGCACTGAGTACATCAGCAGTCATTTTTGATTTGTTTCCTTTTTAGAGACAGGGTCTCTGTGAGTCACTGAGCTACCCAGGTGGAGCCCAAACTTGAGATCCTGTGCCTCAGCTTCTCCACAGTGCTGAAATGTGAGGTGTGCTCCATCACTAGTGTCTGTGCTTTAGCAAATGACTTAAACCTTTCTGTATCAGTTCTTTTTTTTATTGGTAAGATGGGGGAAACAGTGTCTTAAAGATTAAATTAGTTAATTCCTCTCCGCACTTAAAAAGGGCTTAGTACATAGTGCTTAATAAATATGAGGTATTAGCCAGGCATGGTTGCCCACATTTGTGATCCCAGCACTTGGGAAGCTGAAACAGGAGGATTGCCGTTGGAGGCCAGCCTGGGCTACACGGTGAGTTCAAGACCAGCCTGAACTACAAAGCAAGACCCTGTCTCAAAAAACAAATATACAAACAACTTTGCCCATATCCCTTTCCCATCCATCAGAGGAGCCTGAGCAGGGCCCCCAAGTGGCACTAGGGAAGCATCTGGAAGGGCCTAGGGACAAACACTGTAGTTTTTGGTCCTTCACTCGAAAGTGCAACAGAAAGCCTGTGTGGTTCCCTTCCCAGT